ATGCATAAGATAGTTTTAAGATATTTTTCAGAGTTCTTTATGAAATATCTTGAAGATGTTTCTCAAAAAAATCTTTTTTTAAAAATATCTTAAAGTTTTATGCGCTAATTTTACATACTCTGTTCATTGGTTATCTTAAAAAGAGAAGATGTTTATTAATGCAAAGATGCTTAAGAAATAATTATTCCGAGTGATATTTATTTATAATAACGTATTATATTTAATAATGATTATTTATTTGGAAATTAAAAATCTGCAGTATATTACTATATTTTGAACTATTTCTTCTCTCTCGAATTCTTTAAAATTTAATGTGGCTGTTAGAAGAATACAAATCAATTTCACAGAAAGGAGAGCTTAAAATTTGATGTGATGATTTTTAAACCATTTAATAAACGTCATCTAATAAATATTTAATAAACGTTATGTGAACGTTTACAAGATACTTATTAATAACATCTACTACATTTTTTTAGTAGTCTAAAAACCTATTTTTCTTTAGGGAATAAGATAACTAAAAAAATTGATTATCTTCTTGGTTGAGCAGAAACGTTACTTCTATTTCAGTGTAAACAGCCAAAGTTTCATTTGTACTACATGCATAGAATTAAAGTGATTCTTTGTAACATTAATGCATTCGAGAACTACATGGTCCAATTACACACAATTGGAGGAGTCTGAAACCACCGCTGAAATGATCATCAATCTCCCATATTCTACTTTGAAAATATTTGAAAATGATTAAAACATTTGAATTGTTTGTGTAATAATATAAATATGATATCTTATATTTCAGTCATTTTTATTCAGTTAGCCTTAAACTGGACTATAGATCTTACACAAAAACGCCATTGCTTTGCGTACACGCGAGAATTATGGCTCATGTTTCAAATATTAGGTGTACAACTTTGCTTCCGCCGTTTTCTTATAGATTGCTTTAGCGGTAAGTGGTGGTCGAAATAAATAGATCATAGACATCATACAATAAACTTGGGCATCTGTCAACATAATAGAAACATTAGTCGATTTGTGTCTGCATCATAAAGTTATTCTCGATTGAAAATGTCAGTTTACGAGCCAAATTCTCGTCATTTGCGGGAGGTTTTAATTTTTTGCTTCAATATGAAGAAATCTGCGGCTGAGGCTCATCGAATGCTCTAAAATACTTATGAGGCTGCTTAGTGAAAGAACGTGTCGTGAGTGGTTTCAACGCTTCAAGAACGGTGATTTTGACGTCCAAGGTCATGCTCTGTATTTGGTGGGACCAGCTCGGCGTAGTGTATTATGAACTGTTAAAACCGACTGAAACAATCACAGGCGATCGGTATCGAACGCAATTGATGCGTTTGAGCCGAGCATTGAAAGACAAACGGCCGCAATACAACGAGAGACACGATAAAGTGATTTTGCAGCAAGACAATGCTCGACCCCATGTTGCGAAAGTGGTCAAGACATACTTGGAAACGTTGAAATGGGAAGTCCTACCCCACCTGCCGTATTCTCCAGACGTTGCTCTCACTGACTATCACTTGTTTCGATCAATGGCACACGGCCTGGCTGACCAGCACTTCCGGTCTTATGAAGAAGTAAAAAATTGGATCGATTCGTGGATAGCCTCAAAAGATGACCAGTTTTTTCGACGTGGAATTCGTACGCTACCCGAAAGATGGGAGAAAGTAGTGGCCAGCGATGGACAATACTTTGAATCATAAATGTATAACCAGTTTTTTACAATAAAGCGAATTTCGGAAAAAAAACGGCGGAAGCAAAGTTGTACACCTAATATTTTTCGATAGTTTAGGAGAAAGGAAGAAACCTAAGATATTAATAATAATGACTAAAATAATAACAATTTCACAGATATATATTCTTATTATATAAATCCATTGTTGATTACAATGTAAGGAAAATATAAGGCAAAATTACATTGTCAATGAGATCAAAGAATGAGATCAAAAGGATGAGATCTTAATGAGATCAAAGGAATATTTGTGTCGGATTATGATATGTATAAATTTAAGAACAGTTATGAACCTATTTTAACTTTTAGAATGTCAAATATTAATGAAGAAACTTAATACTTCAAAGATATTAATTTTATGAATCCATGCTCGTTCAATCTAAAAACAAATTAATACAACTGAAAAATTTTAGTCTGAGCAAGAAAAGCATTAATACACAATACGAAATGTAAAATATAATTAGAAACATTAATATTTCAAGAATTTAGAGAAGTGGATCATATCTGTAATTGAGGAAACAAAAGATTCAGAACTTTCAACATTTTGAATTTATAGATGCTTGGTACAAACTGATTATCTGCATTTTTCCATATATATATATATATATATATATACACACACACACCACACACACACACACACATGCACCACACACACACACATACACACGCACGCACGCACACACCACATACACACACGCACCACACACACACACACACACGCACCACGCGCACACACACACGCACCACACACACACGCACCACGCACACGCACGCACACACGCACCACACACGCACGCACGCACACCACACACACACACACACACACACACACTAAATGTTATATATTAAAGTAAATATTCTACAGTATGTGTAATTTAATCGTTGCTGAAATTTATATATTCTAAAATAAATGTTGCCTTCTCTCTCTCTCTCTCTCTCTCTCTCTCTCTCTCACGCGCGCGCGCGTGTATGTGTGTATTTAGTGAAATCTATACGATAAATTACATTGTGTGTATCGATAGTCACAAATTAGAAATTATAAATATAATGATTTCATTGTTAAAGGCGGAAAATTTACTATCTTAAAAAAACTCTGTACTTAAATCCTTTATAACATGACTAAAAAATAAGATATTGAAATAAAAAGCATACATTTTGTAGAGGAACAATACATTCGTGATTTCTCATTACAATTTCAAGAATTCGTTAATCTTTTTTTACAAGAACATTTTAAATATAACAAAAGAGCCATTTTTGCACATTAAATCTCAGTTATTTCGAAAACCTGACGTGAAATTTAATTTGTTGATTAATTTAACTTGCGATATCGTTTTCAGAATCCAAAAATCTATAAAAAAAATACCTTATCTGATTAAAAGAAATATTTTTTGTAAATTAATATTCACTATATATCTTTATTCACAGTTTATGACCGTAGCACCAAATCCATTTATCGATTTTTTTATTACACTTCGATTTTATCGACAGTGGCAAAAATGTGATACGTAGTTCACATCAATTTATAAAATTGATGTTGGTGCCGCTAATTACGGTGACTTTCGTCTGTCACGCCATGACCTCTCTTAGATTTCTTTCTGGTTAGATATTCCCAATATTTCATAGAAAAGAAATACTGAATCTGAATGATCAATGATATGAATTAATTAATGTAACTAAATGACACGGAATATTTGTCAACTATGTACAACTAATTTAATAAACTACGTAGAATTAAATCGCAATCTTTAGAATGAGAGAAGAATTAATTGAAATTTGGCGCCTATGTACTTGCTAAGAAAGCGGAAGTGAAAATATGACTTCGAAATTGCGATTGGTTAGCATTCGAGCAATGGGCGTGTTCAAACCAACAAAGCGGCTAGGTCTGTTTGTCGAGCAATTAAGCATGCTTGGTTGAATCCACAAGTAAGAACCAATCACACTTATTCGGCAAGCATTCCTAACCGCTTTGCTGTCTTGAACTCGCTCAATGTCGGCCAATCATGTCGCAACTTTTTAGCATGTCGTTCGGAAGACCTTTGCCATTTTAATGAATTTTGACCCAAGTTGTCGAGGGGATTTCAGAGGGGATTTCCGTTAGAATCAGCGGGAACATCGTCTGAATTCGATGATATCTTTATGTCATTGCGCGGAATGGAATCGTCATACCAATGAAAAGATAAAACGTAAGTATCTTCTTTATCGATTCACGATGATTTCGCTCGATTCACTTTAATTGCGGTATCTTGAGCATCGCACGCGAATTTTGTCGTAAGTGAAATCTGATTAATGTAAACAATCGCCCGCGATACGTGCACGTGCGCAACAGGTAGCGAATTGGATTGGTGACAAATTTTGTTGATGAGGGGGAAGTGGGAGATAAAGGGGAGAAGAGAAGACCAAAGAAGAAGACAAGAATCAAGTCAAAGTGCGGTACATCACGCATGCTGTGTTTGAAATGTCGTTCTGCTTTTGTCAAGAGAATAGGAAAGAGAAAGAAGAATAAGGTTAGCACATTTTCCCTTTTTCTCTATAAATTTTTCACGCGAGAGCTTTCTTTCGACTAGCGCAAGAAAGTTCAGAAATTTTCATGCCCTCCCCCTCCAGAACTGATGGCTTCTCTTTTTTTTCACCGTTACTTTAGATCTTTTCTTTCTTGCATATTTTTCCGTTTGATGTTGAATTTCTTGAGACCAAAGGTTGAAAAAAATAGACTAATTGATTTTCCCGTGAAGTGTTTTGTTCGATTGGTAATCGGTTCGAATTTATTCGCGTCTTCCATCATTGTTCTCGTTAAGACATCATTTCTTTGTCCTCGTCACAGTGCGATAACACGTGAGATTCTTTCGATAATAATTTTCGATATAAATATAAAATTGATTGACTATAGAAGCCTATATTAATTAATGTTCTTAAATACTGTCAATATTATTTGATTAACATTAATAATTCAAAGTTTATCATTAAAGATATAAGTAGATGAATTTGGTTAGAATCATATTCAAGTTATGTACATTTATTACTGTATTTGTTGTAATTCGTTTTTTTTTATGGTTTATATCATTCTTTTTAGAAAATAAAAAATAGCCACTTAAATTGGGATACCTTGTGGATAAAGCATATCAAAGAAAAAGAATATTTTTTATATTATTTATAATATTGCAAAAGAATAGAAACAGGTAATGTGGAGACAATTTTCTAAAAAAATAAGATACTTTATAGCTGGATGTATATATCTATAGCAGTATATTGACTAATAATGTCAATTAGAGAAATGTCAAAGCGAACGCAAGAACCAGTGGATCAATGGTTGGCAAAGGAGGGTTATTTCAGGAAACCTACTCCCAGAGACCCAACCTGTTTGTTTAGAGCAATTAGTGAACAAGTATATCACACGCAACATTATCATCTACGAGTAAGAAGAGAATGTATAGAATTTATGAAGAAGAAGAGACACTTGTTCATTGATGTGAGGATCTCTACGCGATATCGAATAGATCTCATATCAAGAGATGTTCGATATGTGATTCGGTTGGTGATTTTCTGTATGTTTTTTTGTAGTCTGTATCAACGCCATTTGATTATTATCTGAATGAAATGCAATGTTTTACGGAGTGGGGAGGCTCAAGTGAAATTCATGCCATGTCTTTGTTATATAAAAGAGACATAATCATATTCGTTGGAGAGAAGCAGATATGCGAAAACGTTACCAATAACGGCTTTAAAAAAGGCGTTATATTGCTTTGTCACACAGAACCGAAACAATATGAACCTGTTTACCCGATGGCTTTTGTACAATCAGCTGCATATTGCCAATGTATGTAAATATTTCTTAATCCCATTTTTATAATATATAGTTACCTAAAGATTAAAAGTTGTTAACCTAAAAATAAAGGTTCCAAGAAATTCATCGATAAAATTCATTTATTGAATTTTATTGATGAATCTCTTGGCAACCTTTATTTTTAGATAATCACATATTATAAAAACAGAGTTACACCAAGCTCCAATTACAACTTAACAGGCCTAGTAACTTTCCAACTGAAGCTGTTATCGGAGAAAAAAATGTGAACTGAAGAATTAAACATATTTTACTAATTATAATTAACTAATTTTACATACTACATTTTTACATATTACATTGAAATTCTGCTATAAGCTTACTAGGCTTGTTAAGTTAATCGAAGCTTGGCGACTCTTATCGATGCACATCGCAGATGTGTTTCGAACTGATTGCCAGTACTGAAAATCTATAGTGCACATAACGTAATTGTAACATTTTCACATCGTGTGTCACATTTATGGCCTTCTTCATAAATTCTTTGTGATTTTTTCTTTTTTGATAGCTATTGTTTATGAAGTTGTATATAGGTATATGTATCAAATACCTAACATAAAAACTGTTGCGGATAGAATGCTACATAATCGAGCTCCTGCCCTTAGACATGACAGATTTTTCCAGAAAGGAAATCTTGATATTAGGGAGTAAGTTATTTAATCAGACCTCGATATATATAAATTACGTATTAATTGTATTAATTGTGTTTATAAATTATGATTTAAGTATTAAGTTTTTAAATTATATTTAAAAATGTAGATTGTTTTTAAAAAGTGAGATATATTTCTGCAGGCAATTGATTGAAGATTTATATAAAAAAGTAAAAAGTGAACATAGTGACACAAACGAAGCGCATTCTGACTGGAAAGGAGCACCTATTCCTTATAAAGTCGCAAAAGCGCTGGCTCCTGATTATTATCGTAATATAGAATTAGATATATGGCACGAATTGAAACGAGGTGTGGTATAGAAATTTTATTTTCTTTTTTGAGGGCAAAAGTGAAATATTTAAAATAAATTAAACTAAAATTATTTATATACAGAGGTAAAATCTGCTGGCTGGAACAGATATAACAGTAATGAGCTTCAAGTCGGCGGCAAATGTCTGATAGAAATTAGCATAAATGATCTACAACAGTGTGACAGAAATAACAACAAGAATGTACGAGTTAATTTACCAGAATGTAGTACTAGCGAGACTAACAATAAAATTGAGCAACAAAAATTGAAGCAAGGGCCTCTTTGGCTTCACGGTTATATACAGGAAATGAATACAGAGAAAGAGCCAGTTTTGGTTTTTATTAAAGATTTAGGAGAAAAAAAATTTGTTCCATACGATGCTTTGAAACCATTACCTTTAGTAAGAAAAAATAGGCCAAAAAATTGGGTACCAATTAATAGAAACCATTCAGTTACTATAGATTCAAGTTAGTTTATTAAATTAGTTTATTAAATCATTATTGTCATTTATACATATTTATATGTAACAATTCTTTATTTTATATTTAATTAGATCGACGATGGAAAAAACCATATAATTCTTTCTCGCGAAAGAGAAAAGATACCATAATCATAACAAATGAAAAGCCAAATAATACAAATAAAAATGTATTAATAAATAATAGTAATGTTGATAATAACGTTGAGGCTAATACCAATATTGCTAAAAGTGGCTTTGATGAACATCACGGCGAATTTCGGTATGTATCTTAAAATATATTAGTTGCATTCTATCGTATAAAAAATAGTATTGCTTCACATTTTTCTAATAAACTGGATTCTTTAAAAGTAATTTTATTTTTAGTAAAATAAATCAAAGCCAAACATTAAAAAATCATTCTGTAGAAGATAATTCTATTTATACGACAAATGTAAGTATATTGTAAAATTTTAATATTGTACTTGAAATTCTTAAAGTATAAAAACGCACATTTTTTGTTTATAGGAAGAGGCTAACAGTTTACCTATGATAACTACATTCGACAATTCACAGTCTACAGAGTCAAACAGTGTAATACAAGAAATAACGGATGAACATAAAAAACCTCATGCAGTATTTAAAAGGATGAATAATACTGCAAGGAAGATTGAAAAATCCATTAATCTTCAAAAATCAAGTTCGAAACCAAAAGTATTAAATGAGAATTATTCTTCATCTTACAATGGTAATTATTTCTAAATAAATAACATATTATGTCATATATATTATAACCTAAACATATATATTATAACCTAAACCATTATGTCTTCCGAGAACAATTTTACTCGAAATATATAGTATCTAACAAATGATAATCTTAATTCTCTGATATAAAAAATATAATTATAACAAATTTGGCTATGAGAATTAGCGCTGTACTATGTGCACGATTAATTTCAAATTATTAAATTGTATCTTACATATTTAATTACTAATTCGTATACATGTTTCGGCTAATTCTTGAGCCATCTTTAGTACATATAGATGAATCCATATAATTAGGTGAGCGATGAGCATAAGACGTACAAGACTTCAATATCTATTTGTTTTTCATTATTTTAATATCTGTATGTTTCCGTGTGAGGTGGTCAATCATCTTCACTCTAAGAAATGGTGATTGATTACTTCACATGAAACATTGCAGATATTAAAATAATGAAAAATTTGTGGACTGAAATCATGTGTACTGAAACATTGCGGATATTAAAATAATGAAAAATATATGCCGAAACATGTGTACGAATCAGTGTAAGATACAATTTAATAATTTGAAATTTGTGCACATAGTACAGCACTAATTTCTAATAACCAAATTTGTTATAATTATATTTTTTAATATTACCTATATATGTAATGTATACCAGAATGCATAGAATAAAATCTTTCTCAGAGAGGACATTTTGAAAAATGCAGCCCTATATTTAATTTTTAACTGACGTTAAAACAGCCTATCAGATTGTATATACAAAAATATTTCAGCAAATAAATTTCATACCAATTAATTTACTGGCAATTGGATATGCAGTTTCAATTTTTCTTAACAATTTATCAGAATATGTACTGATCTACTTTGTTAATTACAGATAACTCGCAAACAAATATATATGGCAACCCAAACGTGTCTTACGTTCCTCCAGATAACGGCAATGCATATCCTTATTATCCATACATACCAGGAAATTTTTCGATAACTGGGGAACACAATCCTGGTCAAATAGATCGTATGTATTTATTAACATTCTAATATTAATATTATATTATGAAAAAAATGATTTATATTTTACATTTCTTTTAGATTCATTGACATCGAATGTCTTTTACAATTTACATCTGCTGCATTTGGAGGTACGTAGTAGATAGAAAAGTAATTATAATTATATAATTTATCATCAATTATTAAATTATATATAATTATATAATTCTTTGTACACAGGACACTTTCCGTACTTTAAATCCAACTTATTATGGACCGATAATATATGGACCGAATCATCAAAGCATGCAATCTTTGGGCACACCATCAAATGCTATAAACAGTAATTTGTCATTAAATTTTCCTACAAAATTCATATTAAAAAATCATTGATGAAACTTGAAACAAAAAGCTTGTATACAATTTTTAAATAGATGGTCCGTACATGCATATGCGGGAGGAAGTAGATCGCCTTGTTAACGATATGCAAAATAGTTCGTTAAATGAGGGATCAAATGCCAGTGCTGAAATTCCCAATGCTTCGCATGTGAACACGAATAGTGTACAAAGCACAAATCAGTCGAAGCAAGGATCAAGAAATTTGAGCGAGAAAGACTTCTCACATCCCATTCAACAGAAAGGAAAGCAAACTGGAACTGTTAAAGGTAATAACAGTAAAATTAAGTATGTCAATACTATAGAAAATAAATTTGTAGCATATAAAATAATATTATATTAAAATCGAAGAAATATTCACTTTTATTCATCTCTTATAACACGAAATAGAATTCAAAGATTAAGAAAAGGGACAACTAAGATATCCAGACATGCAATCTTTGGATGCTCCATCAAATGCTCATATGAACAGTAATTTAATAAAAATTCATAAAAGATTAATAATGAAATTTGAAACAAAATTTTATACAATTTTTAATAGATATTCCGTATATGCAATATATTCAAGAGGAAGTATATCGTCTTATTAATGACATGCAAAATTGTTCGTTAACGTACAATGAGGCACCAAGTACCTGTGATGAGATTCCCGACGCTTTGCACATGAACATGAATTGTGTGCAAAAAGCAAAGCAAACTTGAAATCGAAATGTTACATCTAGAGAAAAGAGAGGCAAGAACAAATTTAGAACAAGAGATAGTAAAAAACAATATTAAAATAATTATATTAGTAATTAATAATATAAATTAAATAAGCAAATGAAACAATAAACGCTAAAAATTTTAGTAATTAAGATACAATTATAACTTACTAGAAAAGATCCAAACTCAAAACTAGATTCACAAACAAAGAACAAGAACGGTAAAAGAGACTTATAATTAATAGCATATATAAATATCAGATGTATCTTCAATCTAAAAAAAAACCGTTGATTGTTAATATATTTATTTATATTTTGACATTTATTTATATTTTACCGTTAATCTTTAAGTAAGCAAGTGTCTAAGGTTTTTTGTGGGCAAGTTGATAGATGAGATACAGCACCCCAAAAAGTTTTTTAATTTTAATTTTTTAATATTTTTTACTAATTTGTTATGTTAATTTATATGTATTAACTGTATTCTTATGAGAGAGAAATGTAAAAATGATGGTTTAAGATTTTTAAGCATCTTGGTAACATTTTATTTTCCTTTTTCAGAACAAGATTTTTTAAGAGAATTATGACTGAGATGTTATGGCTATCTATTTAAAGCTTAATGTTTGATAATTATTGTCCTTTGTGATGGGAGATACATTGCATATTATTATTATTAGCTTTCGAATTTGTGTTTCTGAGATTGTATATTATTTATTGTATACATATATGATTTTATTTTTATATTTTAATGTTTATTGTTTTAATTTTAATTATCTGCGTTTGTTTGTTTCATTATTTTTTTATTAATTATCAATTTAATTTATGTAATAATCTGCTCAATCTTCTATTTTTTTGTCTATTGTTTTGAATTTGCCACTCTCTTGGATCTTTTCTAGACAGATTATTACGATTTTGACTAAGAACAATTTTTTATTTTTTTATTATTGGACTATATTTTATGTTTTAAAAGGACTATAAGTGAAGTGAATTAAATTGTACTAAAAAATTGCACTTGATGAAATTGAGATTTCCAATCAATAATTTCTGTTTTATAATATTTCACAATAATTATTTTATTAAATTGATTGCATACACATCCTTTATACTTATGTATGTATAAAATTATAAATATAAATAGGATTGAAGGGTAAGTCAGAGAACATAAATATGAAAACTTAACTAATTATATATTTTCTCATTGTACATACATTTCTTTTTGTAAAAATATGCTTGATTATTCATTTTAGTTTTACAGAATTTTCTGTGAAACTTGTGAGAGAACAATATATTTTTTTTTTATGTCACTTTCTCTTATAGGCAATAAGATACGAAATCGCCAGCAAAATGCTCGCGGATCATCGCATATGCAATATTCAGGTCAATATGGCGCGACAATGCCGAGTGGTTCTGTGAATCCATACAATGCGCGAAGATACGATGTGCATATGCTGCAACCGCAGCAGCATCATTGGGATCCGATGTCGCATCAGATAGCACCTAGTGTGATAGCCGGTCCGACAAACGGTTATGCAATACCGCAGTATACAACATCGAACCAAATAATTCCTTATCACGAACTTCCACCACATTACACGAACGAAAGCAACTCAGGGAATCCTTCGTACTATCTGGGAAATGGTAGCTACATACCCGTACCGTACTTACCACCTCAGCACGATGCAACTGAGAACGGAGGAACTGTACCTCCGTCGTACCCGCAGCATTTTTATTCAACGACCGAGGCTTACCCGCCAGATCATTCATCAATAAACGGCCAACCAATGATGTACTCGCAGCCGGTGATGTATCCACAATCGGTGCAATATCATGCTGTACCATCACCATCACAACATATACAAGAACAGTGGAACCCAACCTTGGGACCACAACCTTCTTATGTTACCCAATGCATTGCTCCAAATCCAAGTCTAGCTCCGATCATAGAACCATCTCCTAACGGGCAATGTACCGTTCCAAAAGGTTCACTTTAGATATATATATATTTTGAAAATTGATAATTAAGATTGAATCTCTATTGCAGTAACTATTAAAAGATCTTCATATAACATATAATAGTATTATATAAAATAATATTAGTTAACATATCGACGTTTCCCGTGAAAAAGTAAGATTCTGAAGACTGATGATAATTATAAAATACGAAATACATCGTAATAAAAATTAAAAAATAATTAAGATTAACTACATAGAAAATTTAGACACAAAACAGCTATATGGAGTAAAATATATTAACTATTTGCAATTCTCGTTAAAAATAGACAAGATTGTTCGCTATGACTTACCAGAGTTTCCCATACCGTATATAAAGCTCCATATATTATACAAAGTAGAAAATGTTTAAGATACAGTTATAAGCTGTATATATAAACTAATTTAACATGCCACGTATTAACGTGAGAACAATGAGAAAAATGTGATGTTATGATGCAGCTGATCTATTGTATCAATGTTTAAAAATTTAAACTGAGATACTTGAAATTTTTATAGATATAGTTTAAAAAAAAGAAAATGCAAGACTAATTTCAACTCAGTTTCAATATTATCTTTAATCGATAATGTAATTAATAAGTTTCTTCATTAAAAAGAAAAATATTATAGTGCCTTCAATAACTATAATGAGAACATTCCTATTCTGCCTGTTCTCCTTGCAGAAATATTCCGTATTTAGCGATATTTATCGGTATTTTAAATAATTGAAAAATCATTATTAATTATAATTACTCCGTATTTCTTAAATACCGACGAATATCGTAAATGAAACGAATATTATTTTCAATGGAGTGAATTGGATATCTATCTCTATTGGGATTATTATATCATTCTTTTTCATACATATATAACAAACTTAATTATTTCATAAAAAATATCTAGGCTTAACTTAAATATTTAGAATATTTAAGAATCAATACATACATAAGTTAAGATCTTGTAATTCATTAATATTATTAAGTTTACTAAAGTCCTTCAACATTTATACAATTTTACTTAATATTAACCTTTATACAATTTTTGCTAAATTTTTTTCGAATAAATAATACAGAAAGATCAATCAAATCTATTTTATTTGTTGTATTCTCAATTTTTAGATGGGGTAATTGTGTTTGTATTTTAAATAGGTTAGAACCTAAAAACATTTTTTTTAAGACTTAAGATCCTGCGAATCCAAATAATTGTCGTAATCGAATATTACTAAATAAATCATGTTGGAATTATACAAAAAATTCATATGTCTTCATGTGATGATTATAACTAATGAATAAATGTGACGCGACATACGTAAACGCAAGCACGTTGATGTATTATTTGAACTTTCTAAGAGAATTTCGAGACTATCACACAATCTTCGGTATGTTATGTGATAAAAGGAAGCTATAGATTATCGAAGTTTTTTTAAAGCACAATTGTCACGATAATTAATGCCTACTGGAACAGAAGTGATAAAATGAATATAAAATCTATATACATATATATATCACTGATATGCGATACATATTAGTGATGTATACAATATAAACAGTGGTACTGTAAATTTTTTAAGTTACACATCATGAAGTATTAAAACAAAAAAGGTATGGACAAACGTGATTGATCGTCAACGAAACTGGATACTCTTATATATGCATATATATTTATAGAAATTCTAATATCGAACCGTACAATAAGATATTCTCCTCCATATAAGATACATGCGAAAAAAATTATTATCTCTACGGTACATTTTAAAAGTGGTGGTAGTAAACTCGCTATTATGGGGCTTGGTTTTGATTTTAATCGCCGGAATTCTACGCTCATATATTATACAACGTGCTAACGCTAGAGGCACTCTATAAGAACTGAGATTTCACAAGGTAATCAAGAAAAGGTCCAGTGTGATACACGAAGCTTAATGTTAAACTATTTACACGTATATTACACTTGATCTTCACTATTTACAATCGAAAATCTCAGGTGGATATATTATTGATCTGATAAAAGAAAAAGTAAAATGGAATGATAAGATCTATGTTCTTTCGTAACATACAGTTTCGATAAATTCTTCGGAAGTGCAACTTACAAAGAAATATTTATACTCTCGTGCTTGTTATATTTGATATATAGGCAAACTTATTTGGCATTAAAGGCCAATAAAATTCTTCGAGTTTCATCGCGTAATACATATTGTTAATTTTCATTGCAAGATCCCCGCATTTCTACGAGAATCCCTTTCTTCATTGCACACATTTACATACTGTATTAGACTCGCGTATTATTGGTGTCTCGGGTGTGTGCGATTTCCTCTAAATATAAGTGCATCAATTGTATAATCTATCTGTACATTCGCTACACAGTTCAAATACACAATAATATTAACATATTTAATATTGGACTAATAAGAACAGGGATGCTCTGAAAGATCTCGCAATAAAAAGTCGTAATGATTTCAAGCGAATGAAACAGTGAGAAATTGCAAATCTATAATCAAGAATCTTTCAATTATTTAAAGAAAAAAAAATATAACATGACGTGATCAGCTTGAAATGTTAGTCCGTCTGTCGATAAAAGTAAAGATTAGAAAATGAATTAAAAATTATTAGTAAACATTTATGCGAGGGAGGAAAACATAGATAATGCTGTAACGCGCATTTCTCAGAAATTTTATTTTCGTTTAATTCATGAAAAAGAGAAATCATTTCACCATAGTTCTCATATATTCCACTTCATTCAATCACTATTTATATACGATAAAGGTATTACAGTAATTTGCTATGTACGAATTAATCTTTAGCTACTTCCACATCAGATCTGAATCGTAGGCATTACACTATAGAACCCGGATGTCAGCTCTGATTTGAAAACAACTTCTCTCTATATAAGTCCATATTAAATATATTTTACAATAATATTATCATTGTACATGAACAACGTATGCTCTACACCTCGCATTGCTTATCGCTAATTAACCAGCGCAATGACAAGATTTTTATATTATTCGATAAAAACAATAAAATTAAGATATAAATATAATATACATGCTACATAAAACACCATAAAAGAATGTTGTTAATTAAAGCTAAACAAAAATTAGTCTGGCTAGATTAGCCTTACAGAGTTTGATACTAGAAGGTAGCACTAGTAATAATGTGGAAGAGAATAACATGAAGATTCAAAAGATATAAAAACTGTCTAAATGATTGAAAGATTTTCAAGATTAAACTACATAATCGACAATTTGAATTAACGCTAGAGTAACAATTTAGTTATCTCTCTTCCTAGATTATAATCTTTTAAGAATTATATAATATTCCAATCATATCAGATTGTAATCTTTTTCTACAAAAACATAATATATAATATAGTATATAACATAGGCAGAGAAAAAAGTGTCTCTTAACGCTAATTCGTACTAGCGTAGCAGATTCTACATTTTTGTTATGTTTTTCTGGAAAGTCACGTTATCATAAGGATAATGATAAAATAAAAACTGTATCCTAACAAAAAAGTTTGCGCTGGTTGAAACAACGATCGACAAGAAGGTGTTAATTAGTTAAAATAGACGAGGGGGGACTGGATTTGTGTGACCCCAATATGTGCGCCGCCTTGGTACCTCCTATAGTAAAATAAATCTCATGTTAATATCGCTTACAGACTACTTATTATATGTTAAGCATAATTTCACGTAATTTAAAGTATAACATTATATTATATTTACGAATTCGTGGTCTCAAAGATTGTGAAGATACTTACATAAAAGTAGTGGTAAAACAGGCGAAGGGAGGTTATTCCTTATTTTCCTCAGTAGTAACAGTGTTGGAAGGATTTTGGGACTCTGACGAGGATAAAGGCGGCGCTTCTGCTGCTGTGTCGGTTGCGTCTTGACTCGAATCCGAGCTGTCCTTCATTTCCTCCTGCTTCTTTTCTTCACTGGGAGCGGTACTTTTAGCTTCGTCCACCACATTCTCCGACTCCTCCGTCACTTTTTCGTCCTTGGAATTGGCATCCGTCACTTTCTCAACGTCTTTACTGTCTTTACTGTCCACACCCTCCGCGTTTTTGTCTTCGTTCTGTATCGTCTTACTTTCCTCCTTCTCTTCTTTCTCTTCGTCTACTTCCATCTTTGCAGACTCCTCTTCCGTGTGTTTTTCGCTTTTGTTGTTGGATGTTTCATCGTCTGTGTTGTTCTCATTGTTCTTTTCCTGCCTCTTGGGCCGTCCACGTCCACGACCACCACCACCACCCCGCGTCGATGGTTCCCTCTTTTCCTTCTTGGGTGGCGATGGCACTGGCGTTGTAGAAGTTAGGCCTCTGGCTGAACTGCGAGTGCGTCTCCTACCTTCTACTTCACCGACTGCAGATTTGTTCATGCCCTGCAAAATAGCAAGTGTTTTAAAAACGAACGGCCAGGGATATCTACAGCAAAAAAAAAAAAAAAATAAAATTCAAGATACATCAAATGGTTTTGCCTCGAAAAGATCATAGTGTTACAAATCGTGAATCGCAAGATACAATATTCTTAATGCACTCCATCTTTATCGCACCTCAAATTGTAATTAATTGGAATTAACGTTTGTTGATTCTTAACATCATCAATAGATAGCAATTTATAATTGGCGCCTACGCAATGATTGGTTCCTCATGCCTCGCTGAGGGCGCTTATTTCCTTCTTTGCTGTCCCCACCCCGGCCAATCAACATCCCCACTCCTCACGTATAACGCTCACGTAGGCAGCAGGCGAAGTCGACGACGGAGAAGGCTAAAACGGAGGGAAATAACCGACAGTGAGGGATGGAGGGGGGAAGAGGCGAGGACCTTGACCAGCGGGACCTCGGCGAAGATTTTTGGACGTATGATAAGCCGATTCGATCCGATGTGAAAAGTTTTTTCCCTGTTTTTAGATAATCGCGCGAGTCGTCGCGAGACGCACCTTTAAGATTGCCTCGCCTTCCTGAGCGGTCCTTTCGAGAGTGGAGAGCCTCTTGGTGCCGCTTCGTTTGTTTTTCGTCGGAGTCGGTTTCTCCTCCGTCGACTGTTCCTGCAAAATCAAGCTTCCTATGTATTCGCTCTCCTATTACGAATACATTCTATCGCGCACACATACAGTCATGCGCTCGCGCGCAGCGTCTGCGCATGTGTACTTGTACATATGTGTATGCATGTATGTACGTACATATTTCTTCGCGAGAAATGTATATATGCATGTATGTATGTACATACGCGTATCACGCTTACGCAGTCGCGCGCTCGTTGACGTCTTGAGATCGTCCGAGAGAGAAAGAGAGAATTGCGAGTTGCAAAGAAAATGCGGAGCGACGGGCGCACGGCACCACGCGACATGACATGATAATTACGACGTTCGACATGATAAGATTATCGAGGACCGTTGAACCATCCTCGAGACTCTAACATCGTAGTTCAAGTTTCCCGCCATTTTGCCGTGCGCTCGCCTGTATCGTCTTCAACGTCTCTACGCTTCGCGCGCGCGCGCGCGCGTGCGAGCGCGACTCCAGACCGGTCGTCGACGGCGGTGGCGTCTCGCGGACGTGGACGCGGCGTTGCTGCCGATGACGGCCATCGCGTTGCCTAAGTTCCTGGCGCGACGCCGCGAGTTGCGACTGATTTCCCGCCTTTTCGCGCGGCGCCGAGATGTATGGCGTGCGAGCGAACAGGAGCGAGCGAGAGAGAAAGAGAGAGAAAAGAGGGGGGGACAAAGAGAAGAGATTAGAGCGTGGAGCGAGCGATTCTCCCCCGGTCGCAAGAGTCGGCGCGATAAAAAAAAAAACATCCACCATCTTTGCTGACGACGGGAGATAATGTGCGTACGTACGCACGGCGCAGTTACGAAAAATTTCTCGCTGGATGGAAGAAAGAAAAGCAAGCAGGCAGGCAGGATGGGAGGGCAGGCGACCGGTCGGTCTGTCGGAGGCGCGCGGCGCCATGGTGCCGACGCACCACATGGCGCGACCGCGTCGTAACGACGCGCCACACAGCGTACGGCGTAAGCGCGTATACGACAGCCTGGCCGTCGCCGTCGTCCGAGGGGGCCCCGGGAGTACGCGCGGAAGGACGCGTCCCCGCGACCGCAGCACTCGCGGGGGAGGGGAGCACACTGCCGTCTCGCACACGCCGCTCACGGCATGAAAACTCGGCTTGACGAAGGTGTTTCTGACGTACCCGCCGGCCTGCTTACCTTGGACGCATCCTCGATGTTGTTGTCGCTCTTGGTCTCCGTCTTTGCGTCAGACATCTCTTCACGTGTGAATCACTCAAAAACACTGGGAAATCCACGATTCCACGGCGAGAATTCGCGCTGCGCCCGGTCGCACTGTTTATACGATAAGGAAAGATGGCGGTTAGCGTGGGTCACGTGACACCTCGTCAAACCTCAGAGCGGGAGTTCGGCGCGCCGTCCTGCGCCGCCGCGATCAACTACGCGCGTAGCGACGCACACGCGACCCCGATCAGCCCGATGCAGAGATTCTCGCCCTCGCCGACGGTATTCTACGCTGCACGCTCGTCGATTTTTCTCCCCTTTTTTTTTTATTATTATTGTAAAAGGGCGAAGCTCGTTTACGTCAGCAGTAATGCGATTCTACATAATTTGCAATATCGTGTACAATAAAATTAAATTAAATATTGAATATGATTCTTTTTTTTTTATTAAAAAATTTTCAATTCGTAGCTATTTGCTGTCGAGCAACATTCGTTTAGAATAATTAAAAGTACAGCGTAGAATACCGTCGCAGAATTTAAAACCGGAATGATTTGGATAAAGACCGTACCAGCAATTTTGAAAATAATTTTCACAATTTTATATATTAAATTGTAATTAACATCGCGCACGCGTACTTACTTTACTTACCTGCTTCAAAATCGTTCATATATTGTAGAATGTATATATATATGTCATTCTGTTATAGTCTTTCTTTCGATTTATAGAATTATAAGAGGAAATCAATATAGGATTTTTTTAATTATTTATATGCTGCTTTGAATTAAAGATGTAATTTTTTGTGTTTACGCATCATGAAACATGTGAATGTTGAAATTAATCTAAGAATATTATACATTTTGACACAAATAAAATAAATTTTTTTACTTAGAATCTAAATAAAATAGAAAATTGCATAAATATGTAATACCTATTTTTTGTTTTTTTTGTCTCGTAATTGTATCGATATATCCGATATAATCCTTAAATGTCTTTATCTCCGCCTATTCTATTCTGTAAAATAGAAATTATTAGAAAGAGTTCCACAGTTAGCAAACTTTTAACTGTTGATTTTAACAATAAGTCGTTAATGTGTTGGCATTCTTCGGAACCAAAATCTCGCTCTGAAATCGTCGCTGCATGTCAAAAATGCAGGCGCGGTTGGTGAATGTATAATCATCCTCACAGGACCGTTATGACCCAATGACAGCAACTGTTTTCTTGATGCATTACGAGAATTCCATGCACACAACGAGGTAGTGGCTTCGTCAGGGAACAACACATAGTCTTCGGTATGATTAAAGATCGCCTGTGCTTTGTGTTCCTGTCTACCTGTGGAAAACAGTTTAGTCAATCATATGTTCGTGATATATTGTATTATATCATAACATTAACAAGGCATACCGCACCGAACGTATTCCAAGTACATCAAAACGCATTTATAGTCTTTTTACCTGTAGTTCCGGCACCTGTATACGCTATTAGACATCTGCTAGTAGATAATTCCCATAACTTTATCAAAGAATCCTTTCCTGAGGACAATATATACTGGAACCCAAAATTATATAATTACTCAAAATTAAATAGAGAAATAAAACAGTAAGCTTCCATTGGCAATTTACATGTATAAATCTTGTGCAATGTTACCGCTAGAATTACTACCTTGCCATTCCTTGTGAACGTCACTGAGCATACTTCATAACCATCGTGTGCTTTTGCGAAAGTGTTTACACATCGATTTGACACTCCATCCCACAGTTTGATACTTCCATCTTTTCCTGCCGATACATAAGTCTTTGCATCTGGAGAATACTTGATGCTAGTTATTCCAGCTGTATGCTGATGATTCGGTATGCTACACACAAAACATTGTGCAGTATTTACGTCATATAATCTAACTATCGGATGATTGGTCCCAACTATAAGAAAATCTCCAGTTGGATGGAAAGATAGACATCGAATTTGATCCGCATCTGTGATAGTCCTGAAAGCCTTTTTAACACTGGCTTTACTAAAATCAAATAACTTTACAGAGAAGTCACGACTGCCAGATACAAGTATAGGCTCCCTAGGATGAAACTCCAAACATGTTACTTCTTCCAAGTGATCATATAAAGTTCTTATAACTGGATGACCTCCAGTTTGATCTCCAGGTGCAATCTCTTCTGGTGCAGACTTGGCTAGCATTCTGTCTACATCTAAAATCTTGATCGAGGCATCTACAGAACCAGTAGCTATTAGCTGACCATCTGCTGAGAAAGCTCCAGCCCTGCAGTTTCCTTTGTGAGATGTAACATATGCTGTTTCGTATTGTGCTGGTTCTGGAGCTTGAGTCTGAGCTTCTGTCTCAAATTCTAGGTCTAATCCAGGACCTAAAGTGTTGTCAAAACTCGATGTAAACGAGGATAAGTTAGCACTATTATCCTTTTTGGAACGATCTGGTTCATGAGCAGAACCGATCAACATCAAATGAAGCAGTCGATCTGAAGGTGGACATGGTGGATCTGTCTGTATCATATTGGATAGCTGGACGGCTAGAGTCTGATGACCATCGTAGAACAACTGACTGAAATATTCAACATAACTTACTTGATAATCCATTGCACATGTTCTACTTTTGTTATCTTGCTGATAAAGCTATAATTGTAAATTACACTTGCCATTGGACGTTTACAAAAGAATCGCGCTTTATATTGAGAATATTAATGGTGAAGGAGTAAAATTCAAAGGAGAGCGTGCAAAGAAACGTTTATAAACAACCTGATCATCAATCTGTAAAGCAGCTCTCTGCTCTTTATGATGTTCTTCGGATCCGCTTCAGGTTCTTTCATTGCGTTCTGGCCCGCCGTGTTCTCTGAAGGTGACTGAATGTTGGCGAGTTTAACTAAAACCGTCTAAAAAAAATACTTTAAACCGCCCATTAATCGATGACCCCGGCCTTTTTTGCAGGTTATGTCGCGTTGTTGTCACCCCATCGCATTTACGCTCGTGCTTCTGCATCGCTTACGTTTGATTGGTGGTTCAGGCAGTCGCGACCAATCAGCGATGCGCGCCGTTGTCAGTGCGAGTTCCACGTGACACAGATTTGCGAAAAACTCCACAATGGCCGAGATTGATAGCAATTCAGGATTAAATAAGACCATCTCCGAACAAAAGGGTATATGCCGCAAAAAGTTGTCGTTGAATGAACACGCTCTACGAAAGCGGCAGGTCTTTAAGTTCGTTACAAGTGACAGAGATATCTATGTGAACAACAAGACACCTTTCAAGGTAACTCATATAAAAGTCATCATAACCTTCCAATCGTTGCAACTTCGCTATAGATTCAAAACGAATGCACATTTGTTTCGAAACTCTGTCGTCGCATTTTCTCAGATATTTGTAAATATTTTAGGGACAATTATATAAATGCGAGAAACTGCTTGACAAAGGTGCTTCTGAGCTGGTCATTCATGGGCTTGGTGCTGCTGTGTGCAAAGCAGCCAGCTTGGCTCTACGATTGAAAGAAATTCATCATGATACTTTAGATCTTGATGTTAAAACCTCTACCATCACTTTAGTAGGTACGTATACTTTTCTACATACATAATCAAGCTAAAATGAAAGTCTAAGAATGTCTTGTTAATTACAGATGATCTAGAAGCATTAAACGACAATGTAGATGATGAGATAAACAACAGGCAAAACTCTTCTATACACATACGTGTCATTAGGAGAGTGCCAGTAGCTGTGCTGAGATCTAAATTAAGAACAAATTGATATTGAGACTTTGTAAAACGATATGTTTAAGTAATAAGTGTGTAGATAGAGTGAATAATAGAATATATATGATAGAGTGAATAGAATTATTAGCTACATTATTATTTCAATATAATTTATAGGGAATTATATAATTTTTTTACGATGATCTTCTCTTTAAACGAACTAGTTCACTGGTTAGGTTTAACGATCTTTGAGATATGGATCAATTTAATTGCCTTAATGTTCTTCACTATTTTGCTAGCTTTAAAATTAGATGAAAATTTATTTTTGGGACCATCAGGATGGTGGGAAGTATTTTCGCCGCTCTTTATAGCAGATGGTTTAAATACGTATTTTTGCGCTATTATTTTTATAAGAATGTATATGGAAGGAATGATTAGAGCAGGCATTTTGCGAGCTCTATGGAGTCAAATATCATTATTATTAATTTTTGTGTTTAAGTATCTTCTGTGTAAAAAGCTCTCTGGACAAAGCACGTTGGAGTATTCTGAAGTTTTGAGTCCTGTATTTATTCTTCTGCAATTGATTGCTGTCAGAGCTTGTCAATTACATTAAGAAAAATAGAAGAATTTTCCTGTACTACTTCGATACTTCCAGAGTCATCATCTGTAAGAATGATATGTATTATATAATACACTTGTACATATTTACTATATTTTGTCAGATTTATTTAGATTAAATTATTTAAGAAATTTTATCTTTCTGTAAATATTATATAAATATTTTTATCCTGCTATTTAATATTATAACATATTCAGACTGTTTCTGAATACATTATGCAATACAAATTTAATAAATATTCTCTTAAAAGAATAATGATATATGATACAAGAATAATTAAAATGATAAAGCAATATATTGATAAAAAAAATAATATAATTTTTTGAATTAATATTTTTGTTATTATACTTGTTATTATGTTAAACTTATTGACTGTTGTTTTATAATAAGCAGAGTTTTGACGAAAAGTAATAAAC